CAGGAATTCCAGCAGTTGATGGAAACTGAATGGGACAGCTTCAATCATCTTTGAGGAGGTTGAGACCTTGAAATACAGAGCAGGTAGGATGAGATATTCTAGGTCCACTTAAATGGTAGGCTTGACTTTGGTGTCAAATTATGTAATCACCACAATAGACCAATTCACCCTTGCTATTCTTTTTTTTTTTATGCCAGACTCTTCCGTAGCCCAGTGGGAACTAGATAATAACATATATTTCTGTAGAAAACAACATGGTTTTGAGCTCAGTGTGTAGTTTTTACTTCACTGCAGAAGACTGCAATTTATAAATGGCAACAAACCTATGGAAAATTCTCTAAATGAAAGACCTGGTAGTGTGCTATCATTTAACCCCTATTTTTCACTTTCAGTAGATTTACTGGCATTCACAGCTGCAACATTAAATGACTCTGAAAGCAGAGCAATTAATCCAGAACCCTATTTGTTTTAATCTAACACTGTCACCTGGTTTTGGGTTTCCAGTCAAGAGAAAAAAAATGTTTGTTAAGCTCCACAGCACTAGCTAATGTCTAAAGACAATCCACACTAGAGGGGAGAAAAAAAAGGTGTGAATATGTTTTATAGATAGAACAGGAGATTTATTAGGGTACCTAACATGGTTTCTGCGGATGCCCTGAGAAAGATAATAAGATTATTAAAACTTTACAAATCATTACATTAAAATCCAACAAGGGTACTTCGGAAATTATACTGCTTTGCTGTCATTGCTAATGGTCCATTACCAATGGTAAGACTTCAGGGAAATTTCCCAATAAAAAAACTTCTTCAAAAAAATAAGCTATATGATATTTATTTCACTACATGTTACTTGTTCAAGGATAATAGGTTTATGTGCATCAGAATAGCTGAACGATCATGTTTATGTCAGTGATAGAAGGATGTTCTCCTACTGCAAACTTTAATTAATTTTCACAGATAGTTAATTTTCTGTTTCATTATCAGCTCTCTAAATTTGAAAGACAAACAATTTATAGACAAACAGAAAGATGGGGGGGATGTCATTTTTTAACCAAATTAAAGATAAACTACTGCAGTAAACCTGAGTGGTACTAATATTCATGATCTAGTAATCCTAGGGGGTGTGTGTGTGTGTGTGTGTGTGTGTGTGTGTGTGTGATGGACAAGGATTCATACCCTGAGCATCCACCTGAGATATATATATATTCCAAAGTCCTGCCTAAAACAAAACAAAGTAAACAACTGTTAGCCCAAGCCTATTTCCAGGTAAAAAAGGAAGGTGGACTCTATACTACCAAAACAATGACTTCAGTGCCCTTAAACATCAGTGAATGAGAAATATACATCTCAGTGTATCTCCTGAAAGGGTGACCCATTCCACTAAGACCAATATTCCAGCCTTCTATGCTTCCCAGCAAAACGGAACTTTAAGTATCTACTTACCATGATGTACGACACCCTTCAGCCCATGGATAATAGGCTCCAGTGCTGGATTGTCCCTCTGATTGACCTACATGTAAAGGATACATGACTGGTTAAATCTATTCTGGCATCAGACAGAAGAGTTTCAATTTAATCTTCTAAGGTAGAGGAAAAGGGAAGATGTTATCTTGCAAGTTGCTTAGTTCTTACACTTAAAACAGGTCTTCAAACACGGAACACTTAAGATTTATAATATAATAAAATAAGGTGAAGGAGGCTAAATCAAAGGAAAGTCCTCAGAATGCATTAAAACATTAGGAATATCATAACCCAGGGGGGGAAATGAATAGTTGATAGCTCTCCACTTGCCACTTTCATTGCTACCGATAAAAACGCCTTAAATAAATACAGAAATAAACGAAGTTATCAAAGAGACACCACTTTTTCAGCAGGCATAAAAAAGGAGTTCAGCAGAAGTCAATTGAGCTCACCTGGGCAGGCCTAGTAGAATATTATTTTTGTTTATTTCACCTTTTGCATTTCTAGTACAAATGCCAGATCCTCCACAATACTGTTTTGCAGCAGGTTCTCCTACCCAAGATATATCTGGAGTGGTAATTTCAGAACAAAATAATTTCCATGCGAAATTTTGTATCAGGGTCTTGCAAGCACCACAGACAATACATGGCTTGTCGGACTGCTGCAGCGATCTGCACCAAAAGTTTCCTGCATGATAGCATCCTTACAACAACCCTTTGTCCTTTCAACAATTCATTAAACCTAATCACCGCACAAAGCTTTCTACATGTATCAAGGATAAATTACAAGCAGGACCAATGTGAAAGGTGATTGTCAACTCTCCATTTCAAGGAAATCATAGATACAATAACTCATGACTATTTCGAAACTGAAAATTACTATAGACCAAAGGCTCATAGATCCAAGCAGGGCTATTTTTGGGCATGAACGCACAGGAACGGAGTACCGGCTGGCTCCTGAGTTGGCCACGCCCAGCAGGAACTCATTAGCATAATAAGCCACACCCAACAGCAGAAACTCATTAGGATTGGCTACATTAGGGGTGTATGCCTAACATGCAAAGGAGTTCCTGCTACAAGAAAAGCCCTGGGTTTTGACAACAAACAAGGTAAACAGAATAAGAAGCAAAAGGTGGGTGTGGCTGGATGACCACACTTCTGGTAACATGGGGGGGCGGCCTAATATGCTAATGAGTTTCTGCTGTTGGGTGTGGCCTATTATGCTAATGAGTTCCTGCTGGACTTTTTCTACAAAAAGAGCCCTGGATCCAAGAGAGATTTGTTCCCATGGACCCTGATCTAGAGTGTTCAAATGCAGGGAGCACAGAGTCGCCTGGCAACAAACAGAAGACTAGGGGGCATTGTTGGACCAATGGCACGACATCACTTCTGGGGGGAAACTCAAAAGTGATGCCAGTCTTCCTTAGGAATTGCCACCTTTGTGTTTATTTTCCTCCTGCCACTGCTCAGAGTGGCAGTGGGAAATGGGAGGTGAGGGCAGGGCATGTCCCACAATACCATAAGCTTGGCAGCCCCTAAGCAGTTGTGTATGCAGAAAGGGATGTGAAGGCACCCTGAAGCTCCTGATTGTGCACTGTGGGAGTTGCTGTTTTTTATATGGGGAACACCCTAGGAACAGTAGGAGAAAAACAGCATGGAAAGGGAGGGTCGCAATGAAAATCCAGGGTAAAGATGAAGCACTTATTTATCTCTCCCCGTTTGCTGCTGCTCCTTACCTAACAACTCCCTCTCAAAGTTGATCTTCTTTTACAAAACAGTGGTTTTCATGCGCATGGCTGCCATCACTATCACTGTTTCCTTCTCTTTACAGTCACAAGGCTACCTTAGAGTCTGGCTGCAGAAAAGAGAAGTCAAACTAGACACAGACACACACACAACCAGCCAACAACTAGCCTAGTCCCTTTTGTGATTTTCACACTCATTTCATCTTCAAAAAGCGTTTCTCTCACTTCTGGTGATGTGTGGCTGACCTACACTGAAGATGGGAAACTGAAGGCAGAGAGCACGTGAATAAGCACAGCGAATAAATCTACTGAAAACGGGTGTGCCTCTCATTCAGTGGCAGGACTGTTGATACAGAACAGACGTGATTGTGATAAACGATTTTAAGAATCTTTCCTGTGGCGCTTTTTGTATAATGCCTGCAAAACGTTATTTTTCTGGGACAACAGGTTTGGGAGGAGGGAAGCAGGATTTCTTTCTCTTCAGTAAACTACGCATGAAAACACATTATTATAATACCAACCTTCCCCCCCCCCACCCTGAACCATTATTTCTTTCAAGTTCAGCTATCACTATGATGAGCCAATTGTACACCTGACACACACAGGAGCTGTTACATCAAAAGATTATTCATACCTTGAGCATTATTCCTTGCTCAGCAGATTTGTTCAAGAACAGCACTGTGAAGAATCTAGTCATCTACCAGAGCATGACTTTAGTATTTAAAGGGGGTGGGGTGGGGTGGCGAGATCCTCAAGAAAAAAGGACTGAACCTTTGCATGTATTATTTATAATTGAAAGGGGCCTTGTAATACTCCAATGAAGACAAATAACTCACTGCCATCACTCACTGCAGTGAAAAAACAAACATAGCCTTACATTTTAGGAATACCACCATGCTATTTCCAGAGCTAATAGGATTCTCTCACCTGAGGCTAAATGGTACAAAGGTAAATCAAACCAGTAAAATCTCTTTATCACTTACATAGTGCTATTTCTGCTCCCCGGTGAACACACTATCTGAGGCAGAGTGAATGGTTTAATGCGCTGAGTACAAACAGCATACAATTTACGATTCACAGTTTTAATACACCTTATTATAAGCTTAACTGGCCAACCTTATTATATACCATAACAGATAGGTACAATGCATCATTTTGGGAGAGATCGTTTGGGGGCCTCGGAAGAAGATCACAGCAATGTGCCTCTGTCATGTACCCCAGGTCACAGCACATTTTATTTTACCCCCAAGATATTTAAATCATCGGGAGGCATATCCATAATTCAGCAGCTGCCCCTCTAGAATTGATATCACAGTTCTTACCCAAGTGCTAAACATTCTGAAAAATGCAGCTGCTAAAACACAGACACACAGAGATCACCGCACAAGCAAAGCTTCTTGTAAAAGCTAGCTTTTAACCATGCGGTAGAAAATCGTCCGTACATGACATACCCAATTAAGGGAAGTATTTCATAGAGTGGAGGCTTTGGTAGAGAAAACCTGACCCTTGTCCCCTTCCCTCCTTCTGTGAAGGACATGAACCTGGGCCTTCCCTGAAGAGCTAAGGACATTTGGAGGTACACCAGAAAGCAATACTCTAGTGCGAAGTGCTGGTGACTCTGATCCTCCCCCAAAACACAGTGTTCTATCAAGTAAACAGACAAGTCAGAAGTGTTGAGTTGCCTTTTGCTTTTGAAAAGAACAGCAAGACCTTTCCAGTAACTCAGTCACAGAAAAAGGAGCTGCAAAACAGACCTCGAGAGGTAAGACCAGTGCCAGCTGGAAGAGGAGTCATCAGCTGTGAATTACTGGGGACACATGGGAAGAAGCTCCCAGGGATCTGGCTTTGAAGTAAAATTAAGAACAGCATTTTTTTTAAAGGGAGTTTTGCAGGAAGGAATGTCTAATTCACTGTGTATCTACAAGTCCAGCAGCATAACTAAAACAAAGCCTTCTTTCCCTCTGTTTGTGAAGTGTTCTGCAAGGGAAGAGGAAAAGGCTACAGCAGGCCTGTAGCCAGTGGTGGGGCACTGAGGGTATCACCCCCTATCTTAATTTGTAGTGTCCCCCATGGCTCGCCCTCAGCACCTGAACTTGCCCCACTAGGCCTGAATTTCGGAGGTGAGGAGGCCTTTGTTTCTGGCCCAGTGCCCTCACAACAACCCTGAAAGGCCAGATGAGCTAGACAGGTGAGCTCTGGAGCAGCCAGTGGACAGCAAGCAAACAGGAGGCCTCCCTCGCTCCCATCCCAGATGGTGAGCCACCACCCAGGTGAAGTGGGAATCCAACTTCCCTCACCTGCCTGGCGGGCCTGGGTTCCCAGGCTCTGCAAGGGCGCAGAGAGGTGGCTTGGCTTGGTCCAGGGTCGGGAGGGCTTTGCATGGCTGTGGGGAGAGAAGCTGGGCATGGAGCCCCAGGCCATGGCTGCCAGCTTGGTCCAGACTGGGGCTCTTGGGGCATGCAGGAGCAGAGGGGAAGGGGAAATGAAAGGGGGAGAGAACCTGCAGAACTACAAAAACAGGCAGAATGATGAACTCAAAAAACAGGATTTCAGGGGTGTAATTCTAAAATAAATAAGCTCTAAAATAAGGTCAGTGGAGCTTTATTTAGATGTAATTTAATTTCTGCCCCCCAGTGCCCTGGCACCCCCTATCAAAAAAATTTCTGGCTATATGGCTGGGCTACAGCCATTCTGGACTCGGTAAGGAAAGGAACTTGAGAGCTACTGTCAAGACTCTGTCAGTGGTTGCACCAGGACCTGAACAACCTGATACCTCCAATGCCAAAGGGCTCCATTACCAGCTGCAGGAGCGGCTACCTTTACTCCACTACCTACCCCATGGAGAGCCAGTCTGGTGTCTTAATCTGGGAGAACCGGGTTTGATTCCCCACTCCTCCACTTGCAGCTGCTGGATGACCTTGGGCAAGCCACAGTTCTGAGAAGAGCTGTCCTTGAAAGGGCAGTTTCTCTCAGAGCTCTCTAAGCCCCACCTACCTCACAGGGTGTTTGTTGTGGGGAGGGGAAGGGAAAGGAGTTTGTAAGCCGCTCTGAGACTCCAGGTAAAGGGCGGGGTATAAATCCAATATCTTTTTCCTCTACCACTAGGTGTAGTAGCACCTTGGCTTTTGGTCCCAGAGTACGGTTGGAAGGCATGTGAATTTCATTGAAGCTAAGAATATTTGGGGCTAGGCAGTGCTTGGATGAGAGACCTCTTGGGAACTCTGTATGAGCTGCCTTGAGTTCCATCATGAAGAAAAAAATATAAATCCTGCAAGAATGTAATAGGATGGATCTTGGGCATGGAT